TTGACAGGTTCCAGTAGCTCCCATACAAGTCCAAAAGCTTATTTTAAATATTTGGAAAAATAAAAGAGTTAGATTCATGAAACTTGGCAGTTGTGTGTCCAATTATAGATCAGATATATTTGCGAAGTTTTAGTGGAATTGCTTGACAGGTTCGGGTAGCTACCATACAAATCAAAGAGTTTATTTTAAATTTTTCAAAAACTAATAAAGGTACAAATACAAAATTTTGTATACATGTGTCCAATTATATTCTACATATGCTCTAAAAATTTTAATGGGATAGCTGCACCGGTTCGAGTGGCTCCCATACAAGCCCAAAAGCTTATTTTAAATATTTGGAAAAATAATAAAGTCAGATTCATGAAACTTGGCAGTTGTGTGTCCAGTTATAGGTCAGACATATGCGTGAAGTTTCTATAGAATGATTTCACAGGTTTGAGTAATTGCCATACAACAACGAAAGGTGCAGGGTATAATTCAATCGGTTTATACCGACTGAAACGTTTTTACTTGTTTATATTTTATTTCATATAAAAATTAAAAATTCTTTTAAAAATGAATGATATTCTGTGTTAAAAGAATTCACTTCATGCTCAAGTATGTACACACATACTTACATAATATGCTTGTTTTGCCATACTTAAATTGATTTTTGTGCAAAAATTGTGTAAAAATAAACTACTCTTCTCGGTACACTTATTTCAAATTTAATTGGAATATTTTACCTTATTTTTGTGAAAACCAAATCATTACATAAGAATGTTTTTCAGATGTTGAGGTAATAATGTTACCATTTGAATTGATGCGTCCGCTTTAATTTAACGTGTTAAATTTTGGAATTTAATGCAATACCATGAATGTATGTACGTATGTAAATTTAAAAATAATTGAAATATATTAACATAAGTACGAGTGAGTTTAGAAGTTTGAAGGTATATTTGTGTACATACATATGTAATATTCCGTTTATTGTTAATTAATATAACATAGTATAGCTGTCTAAGCAAGTGTGCATATGTTATGCCGCTACATGTATGTCCATATTTAGATACAAAATTTTTCTTGAATTTATATCCTTTATATAATTTTAACATTTATAATGAAAATTGTTTTATTATGTTCAGTACCTACAACAAAGTACTTAAAAGTATTCAATTTATAATCCTTGCTGGAAGAAACAAAGTGTTTGTGGTTTTATTGGAGCAACTGTGAAAAAAAGTAAATGTAAAAAATAAACCTAACAAAATAGAAATGAGTAACAAATGTTGCATCAGCTCCTCGGAGGTGGGGGGTTAAGGTTGAAGTTTAATGAGATATCATTTAATTAATTTGGAATGTTTAATAAGATTATAAATTTATAACATTTGTGCATTTGATTATGCGTACGTTAAACCTAATAATTTATTATTTATATTAGTAATTGAAGCAAATAATTTATTATTTTAAGTCAATAACTAATAAAGTTAATTATCTCTTTATGCACGGTATTAATATTTTTAAATGTTCCATTATATTAAAATCTCCAAAAATTTATTGAAATTAATAATAATTTTTATTTTTGTTAATAGTTTATATTTTTGTTTTCTATTTTTATACCCTGCACTTCGTGAAGGGTATATTAACTTTGGTATGGAGTTTGTAACTACTTGAAGGAGTCATCTGCGGTATGGACATATACATATATTCTTGCTCAGCGTAAAATTCTGCGTCGATTAAGACATGTCCGTCCGTCCGTCCGTCCGTCCGATCGCACGATAACTCAAAAACGAATAATGCTATCGACACCAAACTTTCACAAGTTTTTTCTTTTGAGCCAAGGACGAACCCTATTGTTATTGGACTAATTCGGACAACGGGTTCGGGTAGCTGCCATACAACTCAAAGAGTTTATTTTAAATATTTCGAAAACTAATAAAGCTATAAATATAAAATTTTGTATACATGTGTCCAATTATATTCTACACATGCTCTAAAAATTATAACGGGATAGCTGCACCGGTTCGGGTGGCTGCCATACAACTCCAACAGCAAATTTTTCATATTCAGCAAAATAATAAAGTCAGATTCATGAAACTTGGCAGTCATGTGTCCAATTATAGGTCAAATATATTTCTGAAGTTTTGGAAGAATTGCTTGACAGGTTCGGGTACCTGCCATGCAACTCCAGAAGCTAATTTTAAATATTTGGAAAAATAATAAAGTCAGATTCATGAAATTTGGCAGTTGTGTGTCCGATTGTAGATCAAATATATTTCTGAAGTTTTGGAAGAATTGCTTGACAGGTTCGGGTACCTGCCATGCAACTCCAGAAGCTAATTTTAAATATTTGGAAAAATAATAAAGTCAGATTCATGAAATTTGGCAGTTGTGTGTCCGATTGTAGATCAGATATATTTGTGAAGTTTTTGTGGAATTGCTTGACATTTTCGGGTACTTGCCATACAACTCCAAAAGCTTATTTTAAATATTCGGAAAAATAATAAAGTCAGATTCATGAAACTTGGCAGTTGTATGTCGAGTTACAGGTCAGATATACTTCTGAAGTTTTGGTGGAATTGCTTGGCAGGTTCGAGTAGATCCCATACAAGCCTAAAAGCTTATTCTTAATATTTGGAAAAGTAATAAAGTCAGATTCATGAGACTTGGCAGTCGTGTGTCCAATTATAGGTCAGACATATTCCTAAAGTTTTGGTGGGATTGCTTGGCAGGTTCGAGTAGCTCCCTTACAAGTCTAAAAGCTTATTCTTAATATTTGGAAAAATAGTAAAGTCAGATTCATGAAACTTGGCAGTTGTGTGTCCGATTATAGACCAGATATATTTGTGAAGTTTTAGTGGAATTGCTTGACATTTTCGGGTACTTGCCATACAACTCCAAAAGCTTATTTTAAATATTCGGAAAAATAATAAAGTCAGATTCATGAAACTTGGCAGTTGTATGTCGAGTTACAGGTCAGATATACTTCTGAAGTTTTGGTGGAATTGCTTGGCAGGTTCGAGTAGATCCCATACAAGCCTAAAAGCTTATTCTTAATATTTGGGAAAATAATAAAGTTAGATTCACGAAACTTGGCAGTTGTGTGTCTGATTGTAGATCAGATATATGAAGTTTTGATGGAATTGCTTGACAGGTTCAGGTACTTGCCATACAACTCCAAAAGCTAATTTTAGTCGGATGTCCAATTATAGGTCAGACATATCCGTGAAGTTTCTATAGAATGACTTTACGGGTTCGAGTAATTGCTACACAATAACGAAAGGTGCAGGGTATAATTCAATCGGTTTACACCGACTGAAACGTTTTTACCTGTTTTATTTTAATTTTCATTCAGATTTTAATGTTTTTTGTAACAATATAATATTGTGTAATTTTAAATTTTGTATTAATTAAGTTTTGAAATAATTATAAGTTAATAATAAATTGTTATATTATATATTATAGCATACTTTTAGACCTTAAATATTATAATGTTGAATACATATTGTAAATTTGAATAAAATAAATAAAAATATACAAATATACAAAAATTATATTTTTTAATAGATTTTCAGTTGTTAATAATTTTAATACTTTTACGGAAAACCTTTTCAAAATAAACACCAAAAAACATATGAATTACAAAGTGTCCAAAAAGGCACAATAATATTGCATCAGCAAGGTAAACGAATCACATTGGTATACATCAGCAACTTTTTTTTGCTTTGACGCTGCATTGAGGCATATTTTTGATTACTTTCCGATTATACCCAATAATTTTCGTTCGAAAAAGGTTCAAGTAACCAGTTTTTGGAATGATTAACCAAGAACTTTTAGTCAATATATTACATACTTTGCTTGGTACATTTGAAAAATAAATCATTCTAATATTAGAAAAAATCACATTTTTTACTTTTGGCACTTCTGTCTGTCTACCCGTTCATCCATTCGCCCGTGGACATGTTTACAAAATTCTACATCCCTGAAGAAAGAAAGCTATTTCATATGTACATAGATCTTTACTAGTAACTTACTTCTGTAGGAGAAAATTTTTACCCATCTTTTCCCTCCAAAATTTATAGCTTTAAATATTCCATTTTTCAAAAATTTATTGTAGTAGAACATTTTGCATTTTTCAAATTTTGCAAACGCAGAAAAGCAGTGTGTTGCTTCTTCTATCGGGACGTACTATATTCGAACTTTAAAAAAACAAAATGGTTGTTAAAATTTAATTTTTTTCCACTTCCACCCCTTCTAAGTTATCGCCTCTCGAAATTTATAAAATTTGAATATTTGTCATCTTATATTTGCGAAACCGTAAGCTTTTTCAAATTTCTATAAACGTAGAAAGGTAGTAGTAAATTCCATGTCATTAAAAAATATAATTATTTTTCTTAACTCACACAATTTATCCTTAAAATCCAGCATTATGTTAACCCCTCTTTAAATTAATGTTTGATTTATTTCAAAAACTGCATAAATCGCTTATCCTAAATATATGCAATCCTAGAAATAGTTTCGTATACTTATGAATGAAAATAATGTTAACAGTGTGGTAGGTGTACATAGATTGTTTTTAAAAGCAGTATTTTCACTTACTGAATGGAAAAGTGCTACAATACAAACCATTGGTTTGCCCAAACTTTATTATACTTTATTTAACTATGGTATATCACTATATTATTTATTATTTTAATAAAATGTAGTACATTTATTATAGCCTATAAAATATACATAAAATTTTATTGCAATTTGTAATATATACATAAAAATATATTTAAAAATCAAATTGCAATTGATTTTTATGTATTTGTAATATATACATAAAAATCAATTGCAATTTGTAAGTGTGTCTACTTTATATGCTGAAGTGTAAGTGAATACAACGCGTGAGTGATATTTTATTGTTTAATTTAATGAATGATTGGTTTTTATATTAATTTCATTAAGAAAATTATAATTCAACAAACAATTGTTACCAAAATATTTAATTTTTCATTTTTTTGTTTTTTAATTTTCAGCTTGGAAAATGATTTTTATTGAAAAAGGTTTAAATAAAAAACATTAAAAAAGGTAAATATTTTATTCCTTCGTATTACTATTTATTTAATATTTATTTTAGCAAGTATTAACAATAAACAAATATTTTATTTTAATCATTTTGTAGCGTAAACTTGTATACAATTGAATAATATTTTATATAAGTAACTACAAACATGTTACAATTTACTCGAAGTTCTTATTGTAAAAAAATGTCCAATTTTTTAATTTTTATGTAAGGAAGAGTAATACTACGGGATGTTGAGGTTGTTCCTATATTAACAATAACATTTTTTTTTAATTTTGATAGTTTTTTTATACTAATTCATTACTTATCATTGTACCATTAATTAACAAATAACAAGTAAAAACATTTCAGTCGGTATAAACCGATTGAATTATACTACCTTTCATTGTTGTATAGCAATTTTTCGAACCTGTGAAACTATTCTATAGAAGCTTCACGAATATGTTTAACCCATAATTGGACACACGACTGCCAAGTTTTATTTAAAGTCAGATTCATGAAACTTGGCAGTTGTGTGTCCAGTTATAGGTCAGACATAACCGTGAAATTTCTATAGAATCATTTCACAGGTTTAAGTAATTGCTATGCAACAACGAAAGGTGCAGGGTATAATTCAATCGGTTTATACCGACTTAAACGTTTTTACTTGTTTTAAAATAAAATCTAATGGTATACATATGACAACATTTATTTAGGGCATTGTTAATAAAATATACAGTTTATTTTAAATTTTTGAAACTTTAACATGTATACATTATTCTCAATCGTTTGAAAATTTTCAGTACTTTTTAATACTTTCAATATTGAGTTATATGGTATGTAAAAACAAAGAAAATATAAATGAACAGAGATAAGTAAAGATCAAGGTTATTTATATCATATTTGCATACTTGATATGTTTACATACTCGTATATGTAGATTTATTATTTAAGTGCTTATGATTATCATCCTAAATCAATGATATTTGAAAGTATGAAAATATTAAGGAGAACTTAATGTAATGTAAATAAGTAAATATTTGAAAATAATATAGGGCAAAATGGGGATTTCATGTAATTACATTTTAAGTAGTAATTAAAATTTAAAGTAGTATAACTATATTTTTTTAGTAAAGGATATTTAAAGATAGGGACAGGTTAAGTAAACTAAATCAACTTCTACAACTTTTTCATTAAATAGTTTTGCTCGAACAATGTCCAAGTGAAATATTTTTTGCAAAGTAATAAAAAAGATTTTTTATTAATTTAATAATATTTATAAAAGTAAAGCGTAAAAGTAAGGTTTTGTTTCTCAAAGTAAAATACGAAAAACGAATGCTGAAGGGCCTTTAATTGTCATACTTGAGATTTATTTAGTCCTATAAAGCCCATAATTAGGAATTAATTGCAACACAATAACATTTTTTCAAATTTATTTAAGGTAAGTTTTATAGCATTGTTTCTACTTTTAATTTATTTTTATTATTACATTGTTTTATACCATTGTTATTTAAGTATTTCAGACAGGTGTCAGTTAAAATTTAGCATTTTTAATCTAAGTTAACAATTAATGTATTGTTGAATCAATGTGTTTGACAAAACTACCGATTTTTTGCTTGCTACAAAACTAAACATTATTTTAGCGAAAAGGTTAAAAAATTAATAAGATCAACATTTTCTTCAAAATATTCAATGTTTCATTTTCATTATTTTTATACCTATACTTAATTATGAATGCTTGCTTGTATAAAAAATACGCATTTAATCCTATTTTTTACAAAATTAAATTTTTTTCATTTGCAAAAGCAAAAAGGAAATCTTCAGTTTAATATTTCAAGAGTAATTAAATTTCAAAAAATTTCTCTAGTTGTTTTCAAGGAGAAAACTTTTTTTTAATTAATATGCTTGACATTCTTCTTCTTTTGAAAAAATATAGATGTATGTAATATTAATTTTTCATTTCATTTTAAAGAATATTTTGTGAAAATATTTACACCCATATTTATTTTTATATAAAACGACTAAAAATAGAGTTGACCGTGTCAACTCTGGAATACCCGTACGAATTTGTCATCCTATGTGCGAATAAATATGCCATAACTGACTATGGGACGGACTATGACTTTAAGTTGTCGTATTAGCTGTGTTTTCAATATTTTCCAAAATATGGCCAAACTACTATTGAAGTTGTATGGCTGCTACCACAAAGAGTCGAGAAATTTCAAAGATGTTTATCACACACAACAGCTTCAACAATTCCAACAATTTCTGAGATAATGCTAAATATTTTATGGAGTTTTTTGGATGCTATCAGAAAGAACCAGGCAATTTTTACTAAATTTATCAAACACATTGGTCCTACTAATATATTCGCTAGTATGAAATTTCAATATAACAGCTTTTGTATTTTCCGAGATATAGCCAAATAACTTTTGAAGTTGTAAGGCAGTACTACCAATATATTTACTAACATACATATTTATGTACTTCTACGAAATTTCAATACCACAACTCTCATAGTTTCTAAGATATAGTAAAATAAATTTTGAAGTTGTATGGCAGCTACCCGAACCAGTAGCCCGAACATGTTTAATTTAAATAGGGTTCTGGCACTTACTACAAGAAATCATTTGTAAAAATTTGGTGAACTTAGCTCAATTAATTCTTAAGTTATCGCTGGGACGGAAGGACGGATGGACAGACAAAGCTAAATCTATTTAGAATTCGACGCTGATCAAAAACATAAACTTGAGTCTATATCTCAGATCATTATTTCTTATCGTTACAAACGGTAAAGCAAATTTAGTATACCGTTCAACATACATTCGTACGGGTATAATTATACCCTTTACTCTCTTACATAAAAATATAAAATGTTATACCTATGTGATTTCTCCTTCTCAATAAAACTGAAATTTTAGATTTAATGTAAAAATATTTCATTAAAAGTAAAGGAAAATTATAAGGATTAATTTGTGCTTGCACTTTAATAACAATTAATTATGGTACAACAATATTAACGTAAATATAATATTTAATTTTGAAAAACGTAATTTTGTTAGCAATTACAAAAAAATTTAATAATTGGTTATAATTATTTATAATTTTTTTTTGTCAAATAAAGTAATTATGATGTGCTTGTATGTACATATGTTTTATGTTTGTATATTTTGTGCTATGGTATACATATATTAGAGTGTGCAGAAGTTATTTAAAATATACACAATTCGATTGTATTTCAGTATTTTGTGTTTCAAATTTATTTTGGATTTTGTAACTATAGTTTTAAATTTTCTACTATACGTTATTACGTACAATTTTTAAGTTAAAATTTTACATTTTCATTTTACTCTCTGCAGCTTCAAACTACGAGTACCTATTTTGCGTTTATTCTAAAAAAGATTTCGACAAGGGTTAAACTTAAATTAGTAATATTCATTTGTTTACTTTCAAAAATGTTCCAAAATGGTAATTTTTGATATCCATTGATTTACATTCGTACTTGTCTAAATACATACATGTATTGGTATTTTAAAAGAGTTTACCTAATTAGTGTAGACTGCAAGGAAATATTTTTGTAATATCATTATAATAAGTTTCATGAGAGAGAGCGCCACTAAAAATCTACTACTTTAACTGTCGGTCACGTTCAATAGGTTAAATTTGATTTGAGATATTATAGCTTGTATAATTTGTGCAGTTTTTCTAAGGTTGACTAAATCTGAATTATATTAATATACATACCTGAATTATAACAAAAGGTATCTTCGAAATTGTTTGTGAAATTGTGTATCCAAATTTTTTTCGATACATATATGTACATAATATGTTTTTTATGTAGTTATTTAAGTTGTAAGTATAGAAATTTTTAAATTAAAATAAATTGAAATAAAAAATTTTCTTATTAAAGTAAGCAATGGAATAAAATAATACAATCCATCAAGATTTTTAAGTTTTCAACATTTTAAATTGAAATTTAATTTTTTTTTCGAATTTGACAAAATCGTGCAACTTTTATTTGATTATTTCGAACAAACCCAAAATTTGAGCAATAAATAACAATTTTATGTTCTGAATACGTTTTTACATCAATTTTACATCAACTTTTGAAACTTTTCCGAATATACTTTTTAAACTATATGGAGACTTGATTAGATTTAAAGTAAAAAAAGACGGAGATGCGGGTTGTAAAAATAAAATATGAAGAGCAAAGAAATTCCTTGTCGAAACTTCTAAAAATTTAGTTAATCAGCATACATTTATATGCGTTTTGATTTCATATATTGTAAGTAATATACACGTAAGATATGTCTAAGATTTCATACAAAATAAAGGTTTGTGCATACACAAAATGAAAATTTATAATAATAACGTATAGTGTTTGTTTATAGAAAAACTGGAAGATACTAGAATCATGATAATATAAAATAAAATCAAACCTTGACTTAAGAAAAGGTACAATATAATTTTTGTTGTTCTCTCGTTGTTCTTAAAGTTAAAAAAAGGTGATGTCCGTATATTAAATAAAAATAAAAACTGATATGTTTAGCACATAAACGACCGCAATGTGTATTGCCTATAGTTTAGTAAAAGTGTTAGAGAAGATTAAGATTCCTTTCAATTTTAAGAAAGTTAGCAATCTTTTAGTAACTTACCAAGAAAAGTGTAAATTTGGCTCTGATGTACCCCAAAAGTTGGTCAATCCGTGCCATATTCAAAATAAACTGACATAAAAATTTCATCAAGAACGGTTCAGTCGAACTTGAAATACACGCGCCCACACACAGACCGACATCTCTCTAAAAATAATTTATTTACGCTTTCTACTATGGAGAAGTGATGTTTCTACCGAAAACTGGACATTCGAAATTAGTTGCCATCACATACCCTTCCATATTGTAAGCATTCCGGTCGGTAAAAAACTTAATTTAACTTTTCTCTTGTTTTTACTCCAAGTTATTCATCAATTTTAAATACAAACAAAAGGAGAAAAAAATTAAATAATTTAAATGAAAATCCTTACAAT